TACAGAGAAGAAACACTATTGTACCATAGGAACCTTCACTAGAAATGGCACTGCAAGGCTAGAAAAGAACGAGAACTAATTTTTGGTTCACAATAACAAATGAAACATCTGTGCTTTCTAAGGCGGCCCTAGCGTGCAGGATCCCTCAAATAAGAGAGCCAGTGTTCTGAGGATTAAAGATTATTTCTCAGAATGAGTTCCAAAAGAATGTGGGGCTACAGATTATATGACCATCAGGAAGTTGGCTCTTTTGCACATTGTTCGGCAGCCCAAAAGGATACCAGGCGGCAGAGAACGCAGCCAAAGCGCATTCCTTTTATAGTGTGATAACATTCTGTGCAAGAGTAAACCCTCTTCTTCACAGGCAAAGACTCAGGACCCCAACAAAACAGCTGGGGCACAAAGGGGCTTCTGAAGAACAGAGCAGGCCTGGCCAGGTGTGTTTCCCCTGAGAAAAATAAAAGCACCCAAGTTCTGAAAGCAGTCTGATTAAACACTGTAAAGAACTTCACTTCCTGACAGCCCCTATCCCTGAGCTTCTCTGAGGTAAGACTGCTGCTACACTAAGGTCCCTATTCTTAGATTCACAACACTCTTAACAGTTGCCAAGTCCCCGGATCCTCTGGGCTACTCTATTTTCCTAAGCTTTGCTTTCTGCATGAACTCCATAAACAACCACCTTTCCAACAATTTAAAATAGATTTTAAGCTTTCCTGTGTGGTTCAGGTTCAAAGTGTTTGTTCCTATATAGGAACAAGGTTGCTTAATCATTTTTATTGCTCTTGGCCACATTTCTTGACTGAGATACTTTATAACAGGAAGACACACAGTGGCACATATACTAAACCAACATAACTTTTGGTTGTAAACACCAAGAAGCAAAGTTTAAAAGCCTAGATCCTTCAAACACAGGTTATACCAACAGGAATAAATCAATATTTTCCACAAATAAAACATTTCCATCATGTGAGAAAATGTAGAACACATTTTCATGTTTTATAAGGCATGTCATAGTGAAGATTTTTTTCCATGTGTTAAGTAAGCCCACCTCTTGACTAAGACATGAGGGTCCTTAGCACCAAAACAGCCATTTGAGGTTCAAGATAACACGAAAGCATGACATTCAAGAACCTGGGTGAGCGGCTACAAACCCAGCCCCCATCCACACCACTATCATCACCATCATTACCAAGACCATCATCAAATATTTATGACTGTTTATACTGTTGGAACATAAATATTTCCCAGCGGATGTAATCAACTTTGAATGATTCAAAGTATCTTTATACAGTATCTCTCCTATTTTAGAATGTACAAAATTAGCAATTCCTGCATGTGATTTATTAAGAGGTGGGAATTTTTTAAATACAGCAGAATGGGGCTGAAGGTGAAGCTCTTCAGAATAGCAGAAGCTTTCCATGCATGATGCCCTGGGTTTGATTCCCCAGCACCACAAAAACAAAACAAAGCAAAATGAAACAGAAAACAAAAACAACATGAATCTGGGTTTCAACTTGAAATACAGAAACATGAAATCTGGGAAAACTTAAAAGGCAGTTTCTTCACACTGCTTTATCTAACAAGTCTTTCTTCCTAACTAACAGAAATAGTGGTAGGAACCTGAGTTCTATAGAAAAGAAATGCTTTGAGCTGTTTATAAAAGTAGACAAACCCAGACCATCCAGATAACTTAGTGGGTAAGGCTGCTTCCTGCCAAGCCTGGCAACTTGGCAACTGGCAACTTGGCAACTTGAGTTCGATATCCAAGACCAACATAGTGGAAGGGAAGACCTGACTCATGCAAGCTGCCTTTTGACCTCTGCATGTGCATGTATGCACATGAATAAATGAATGAATGAATGAATGCATGATGAACCCTCCTGTTGCTAAAGCTGTTTTTGCAAGTTTGACATTCTGAGTTCTTCTGGTTGCCAGATGGAAGCTATTTAGAGTCTAGGAGTTTAATGACAGGGAGACCTTACATAGACAACACTCTCCTGTGTATGATATCACATATAACATGCTAATAGTGTTGTCTGCATACTACTACATATGTGTAGGTAAGCAGACATGGCAAACCTACCATTTCTGAAACTATGACTAAAACTTTCAGACAAGGACCGTGCTGCATTCTACCTAAATTGTTCCCAAATTGAGAAATACCTCAAGTTCAAAGGAGCAGTAGCTAGACTATGTAGTTCCTAAATCACTAATCAAATAGGAATTAGAAGAGTAGTAATTAAATAACATAAAATTACTTTTCCTGATTTCTTTACAACTTGCCTTCATCACCATTTTGTTTACACATTCATAACCAAACAGTTAATTCTATAGGCAATGGCAAAAAATAATATACATTTTGGCTGGCAAGATGGCTCAGTAGGTAAAGACACTGGCCACCAAGTTTGAGGAGCCAAATTTAATCCCTAGAACCCACAAGGTAGGAGAGAACTGACCACAACAAGTTGTGCTCTGTTGGGTGCCAGCTGTGGGTCTCTCCCTCCCCTCATGGGCCATGGGCCACAGACCCACAAGAACAAAAGGAGCAGAACGGGGTGAGGACGGCCAGTGAGCACAGACGGAAAAGATCCTCCAGGAGTCATATTCAGTGATACAGCTCGTTTACTCAGTGGGGGTCAGGGAAAAATATAGGGTGGAGGTGGTAGCCAAAGCTTCAGCTGATAGGTGTTCATAGTATGCTTTATTTACATGTGGTAGGGGGATCCTATCATCTGGCTATAGGGCAATGCCTAATTATTATATAGAAAAAACCTGGGGGCAGTTTATTGCAGGTAACTATGCCAAAGGCCATGTTCCAAATAAGGCCAGGCATCTGTGCTTGGAGGCACTTTCCAGATAAGGTCAGGCAGAGAGCAGGAAGACCCTGCTGAGAAAGGGAGTCCTCCATATAGCACCGAGCTCCTTAGAGCTATCTGGACATGGTGGACTGCAAACTTAGCAGCAGGGTCTCCCAACACTCTGACCTCCACACATGTGCCCCACACAAAATAAATTTAAAATGGAATAATTTTTTTAATTTGTATTTTATATATCCTTATATGGTAAGAGACATGCTTTAATTTTTTCCTTATCAACTTTCTTCAAAGAGCCCATAATTCAATGCAAGAGAACTGGTCTTACTCATAGTAACATTCAAAGTAGAAAATGTGAGGAAAGGAAAACAGAAAAAAAGTCACCAAAACCAATGTGAAAAGAGAGGTAATCATGAAATTAAACTAGACGGAAAGTAAAACTTCTAGCTGGGTTAACGGTCCCTTTAAACCTTTTTCTTTTCCATTCTCAGTAGCCAACTAAAACAAACAGGAAAACCAAAGAACAAAAAAGCTCACTAGAATTATCATGTTATCAAGAGTTGCTGCATTTGGTTTTTTGGAAATTTGGACTTTTAAATTGTTATGCAGCACAAGTCTTGCTTTTAGGTGATATCTTTTACATACCAAGATGAGGCCCTCAGCATAAGAAAAGATTCCATTGGTACTTAAGCCCTTGTCTTTATTGACATAGATAAGATCAAATAGCTCCCCTCTCCCCAGAAATCCCAAATGTGAGACAAGTATTTAGGAGACAAGGAACCAGAATTTGACCAAAGCAGCCTGCTGTAAAGTCTAAAGCCAAGCCCTTAAAGGAATGGATTTTCCTCATAGTAAAGTTGTTTCACTGTTATGCTTAATGAGTCAATTAGTTAGCTAAACCATTGTGCTAGATAGCATCAGTTGTCAACATGGGAAGAGGGACCCTCAACTGGGGAATTTCCTCTATAGGACTGACCTGTGGCCATGTCTGTGAGGCATTTTCTTGACTATTGAGTGATGTGGGAGGGCCCAGCCCACTGTGGGTGGTGCCATTCCTAGGCAGGTGGTCTTGGGTTGTATAAGAAAGCAGACTGGGGCTGGAGAGATGGCTCAGCAGTTAAGAGCATGGCTGCTCTTGCACAGGACTGGGGTTCAGTTTCCAGCACCCACATGGCAGCTAACAACCACCTGTAACTCCAGTTCCAGGGGATCTGATGCTTTCTTCTGACCTCTTTAGGCACTACATGATACAACACAGTTGCATTTATATACATGCAGGTAATACATTCATACACATAAAATGAAAATAATAAAATATTTTTCTTTAAATGAAAGAAAAGAAAGAAAGCAGGCTGAGCACAGGCCAGAGGAGCAAGCTAGTAAGCAGCACTCCTCCATGGTCTGTGCTTCAGTTCCTGCCTCCAGGTTCCTGCCACAAGTTCCTGTCCTGGCTTCTCTAGATGAAGGACTATAAGCTGAAATAAACTCTTTATCCCAGTAACAGAAACCAAATTAGAACAGCAAACAGTAAACACTGACCTAATTTAAGGGAAATAACACAGCAAACTGGCTATAGTAGCTCAGTGGTCCTCTCCAGTTTTCTTAAGGTGACTTGTAGGGGTGACCAGACACAAGCGGTACTCAGTAGCAAAGGCCAATGGTACCAATAACCTACAAAGACCAAGGCCTCTTCCCCTTTTTTTTTCTTGATCTGTCCTAATTCCCATTCATTTCCCTTCCTCCTTCAAAATATATATGAATTCCTTAAGACAGTATACCAACAACCTTATGCACACCAATCAAAGAGTATAAATGATGCTATGTAAATCACTGCCTTAAAAATCTTGTCTTGTTGGCATTTGGGGAAGTCTACCACAAGAACAATATTAAAGGTACTGCAAATTTGTGACGAAAGGCATTTTTCAGTGATCTCTGTGATTTACTTGCAAGAGTGACTGGAAATTGCAAAGAAGAAAGGTGACAGAAAGGAAGGCATAAAGTTCTGCACTTGTCACTGACAGAGTGTGACTAGAGCTGCTATCATTAACCGTACCTCAGGTTTAAGTAGGTCAGCACCTGCAAGTTAGCAATGGCCTCGGGAATGACTCGGATGCAATTGTGGTACAGATTAAGAATTTCCAGTGACACGAAGTGGCATAATTCCATGGGCACTTCAACCAGTCTGTTTTTAGATAAATCTATGAGAAAGGGAAAGAATACTCTGTCAGTACATGTTCAACATTTTCAGTGAGGTTCCCAACCATGAACGCTGCTTTAAATATTATAACCTACATTTACATCAACATTATCATTTTTGTACCTCTGTTGTTATTTCTATTTGTTAGGCAAATTCAAAAACACATGGTTAAGGAAAACAAAAATGCTGATTTCAGTTTTCTAATCTGAATTTCTAAACATGACTACAAATAGAGAACATTTTTATTCTATTTTGAAAATATCTTGGGCAACAAAGTAAAACTTTATTCTTTAATACATAAGAATATGTGTAACTTCCATAATCACTAATTCAATTTTGCATTCATAATACATATTCATTCTCCAGCTGGACTTCAACTCTGACACAGAAAGAACGTCTTTTATATATTCTGCAAATAGGCACATACTACTAAACAAATGATTTCATTCACCAGAATTACTGAGTAGCTACAATGCAGAAGCCCATGGTAAATCGATTGTGTCTATTAAGGACCAACACTGTGTCTGCCAATCATTAGTAAAAGAGGAGTTCACTGTCCAAGAGTACAAAGACAGGGGTAATGACCTTCAGAGCAATGTAAATGCACAGCACTATTTACAGTGGGGTCACCACCCCAACAACAAAATGACACAATATCCTTAACAGACAAACGTGGGAATGGTACACATAGCTGTAAAATAGCATAAAGTGCTGAATGCAGGAAAGAGCTGCCACTCTTGAATACAAGGATAACAGACCACGGCTCGCTGCACCAGGAGGGCTTAGAACAGGAGAAACTGAAGATGGTCAGTACACAATATACAATACAGACCTGAGAAGCCATTTGCTGGCCAACAGGGCAGGGGCAGAAAACATAAAAAGATCAACACAATAGATAACCTGAAGTCAAGGCACTACCTTCTCTAATTGTCCTTCAAATACATGACCACATCAATAAACAGAAAGGGGACTAGGGAGCCTCAGGGGGGAACTGTGACAAACATTTAAGGAAAAATTCTGAAAATATTTAAACTATTCCAACCCATACAAAAAGGGGGAAAGTCTCAAGTTTTTATTTTAAAAGAGAAGTCTAATATAATGTTACTCTGTTACCAACTAAGAAGGCACAGAAAGGAAGACTAACATGCATCTGTTTTAAATAGTGACATAAATCTTAAAATTAACAAGCAGAACTCAGCGCATCAAGAGATCAATTACAAATAAGGTGGATTAATTTTAGTAACATAAGTATGCTCTATTATTAAAATAATTTATCATGTAAATATAGCCAAAAGAAATGACGTATGCTCACCCACAGGATAATTAATAGCTATTTGACAAATACTACAACAACTTATTAAAGCATATTTTATATACCTTTCTATATACTTTATGGTATTTTATAACATAAAATCAACCATTTTCAGCTTACAATTAAGGAACTTTACTCAGTGGTTCATTTATATTCATATGTCATTTTTAGAACAGATTCATTTTAATAAGTTGCTTAACAAAAGGAGTATAGGTTTCATATATATATTATATACACACACACATATCTCACCTAATATACATAGGCATGCACATACACATATGCGCACACATACGGGCATATAAGAGAGAGAATAATGATTTTATTTACTTGCTGACTCAGGAACTGTTAGAAATGTTACCATTGAGTCTAGATAGCTATCACTACTCTAATTACTACCGATAGTTAGCGTTCTTCTGGAGTTATTAGGTGATGAGATGAACAAAGAAAACACAAAAGTAGAAAAGAGAATTATCATCATTTGCTGATAATGTGGCTTTTCCTGGATAATCCAATCATATCAACATCCTGCAAAACTGCCTGAGAACTTAAGAAAGACACAGGAGGAATCTGAGAGGCTGTGAACGCATGCTAGAATGGAAGGGGCTGGGGTTACCTGACACAAAACCTTAAAGAAAAGGCAAAGTGTACGAAGAAAATTTTAAATGCAACAGGAAAGTTATGGCAATTAAAAAGGTATTCCATGATTTCAAATGAGACTCAAAAGGAAAAAAAAGAGACTCAACATCAAAAAGGTATCAATTCTAAGTTATATCCACATAATTTAATGTGACCCTAACTTTAAAAATACTTCTTGGATTTGTTCTAATTCCTCTAAGCTCACACAGTAAAACAGTGTAAAATCAAGGCAGTGTCTGTCTAGAAGGAGGCGCTATAAGGGACCTGCTCTCTAGACATCTGAAAAACCATTAGCAGTCAGTCAGTGGATGCACGGGAAAGTCAACGGAACAATGACAAAGATGGGAAATGGGTTGAAGCTACACACAATGAAATCAAGTATGCAACAAAGGTGCAATTTCAAACCAAGAAAAAAGTGAGGTTAGCAGAGTTGTCTGAGAAAACTACATAGCGCCTGTAAAAGAGGCTGACCAACCACCTCGCCTCCCATCCCCACGGCAGCCTTAAAAACAAGATCCTTTTTAAAAAAAATTATTTACCTGTTTATTTTTTATTATTGTGTGTACATATGATGTGTGTGTGAGGGTACATGCAGGTCACAGCACACATGGAGAAAACAGAGGACAACTTAGGATGCTGGTTCTCTCCTTCCATCTTCACACAGGTTTTGGGACTGGAACTCAGGTCACTGGGCTTTTGCCACAGGCCCCTTTACATGCTGAGTCATCTTGTTGGCCCCACACAAATTCTAGATGAATAAAACAGTTGTGAAAAATGAAGCAATAATAGTAACAAGATGACACCTGGGAACTTGGTGCTCAAAAGCTTAGAACTTCCTGTGGAAGGTTTGAAGACGGAGGGTGAACCTGACACATGGAAGCAAAACTTATGACAAAACAAAAAATAACTCCACCCCAAGCATAAATGAGAAGAGACAAGGGAGGTCATCCTTCAATTCACAAGCCTAACAGATGAAGCTTATAAGAATATAAAGAGCTGTTATTGTCAGTAAGACTGGGGCTGGGGACATAGCCCAGCATTAGAATGTTTGCCTGGTGTGTGTGAGGTCCTTGGTTCAATCTCTAGCACTACCACTCAAACCAGTTGGGGGGCAGGAGGAGAGTAGCTCATAGAAAAGGGAGCACAAATGGCTCTTAAGCATGAGGACAAAAATGACCAACCATATTTAAATTAGAGCAACACAAATGACAACCATGGATGATATTTCTTACCTATTACATTAATGACTATCAGTCTGACACAGACCCTGCAGTGCTGAGGGCATGGTCAATAAAGGGCTTTTAAATGATGACATTTTAAAGAATCTATTGAAACACTACTGAGGGCAAGGAGAAACAGAAGGCTAGGTCCAACAATAGAGAGTTGTAGTTACGTAGGATGAGTGCGTCTGGAGAAGGATTTAGAGCTTGGGGCACCAGTTAATATTAAGAACACTGAATACCAGTGCTAGAGAGATGGCTCAGTGGGTTAGCACTCACCTCCAAGCTTGAAGACCTGAGTTCTACCCCCAGAACCCATATGGTAGAAGAAGAGAATAGACTTTTACAAGTTTTCCTCTCACCCACACAGGAGCACAGTGGCAGATGCCAGGCATTCCTACTATCCCAATATTCTGGGGGATGGCTCAGCAGATAAAAGAGCTTGCTACCAAGCCTGACAAACCTAGGTTCAATCCATGGGATCCACATGATAGAAGGAGAGAACTGACTCCCAAAAGTAATCTTCTCACTTCTATATGTACACTGTGGCATGCGCACACACACACACACACACAAATCAACCAATCAATGAATCAAATAAAAATTTTTAAAAAGAATATTGTGTACTGGAGATTTGCTAAGAGAGGATTTAGGTACTCCCCCCCGCACACACACAAGGGCAATGATGCAAAATGACAAATAACTTAATTTGCTCAATGACAGTTATGGTTTCATAATGTATTATTACACATGTATATATATTAAAATATCAGGTTGCATATCTTAATATATACAATAAAGTTTACACACACACATATATATACACACTTCAACCTAACAATCTTTTTCCATCTCCAAATATAGACATATAAATGAGATATTTTTCAGCAGAGTTTGAAACAGTACAAAATAGAAAGCAATTTAAGTATCAGGAGGCTAGCTAAATATCCAAAATTAATTAACAAATATCATAAATGCCACTAAGATTAAGTCAATTAGTAAATATGAATGTGATCACAAGTCCACTTCCTAGAACACATTCTGTAATGGGACACCATACTGTGCAGTAGTCATCAATGAACAAAGGAACTCTCTATGGGCTGATAGACAAAAATCCTCAAGATACACTGCCAGTGTTGGTTTAAAAAAAAGCCAGGTAAAACTGAGCACATGGCACTTGTGTTCTTTGGTGGATGCTCACAGAGTTACTTAACTACACATTATTTCTCAGGAGTTATACAAGAAACTGCTAAAAGCTGTACTTTGTAGACAAAGGTTCTGGCTAGATGGACAAGCATGGGAGGTGACCTCTCACTCTAGATCTTTTGTACCTTCAAAGGCTTGAATATATACATTGTCAAATAAAAATGATAGCTAATACACATACACATTAAAATATGCAAATCTGCACGTGTGTAAACCTACATCTAAAATCTTTCTAAAACAGTCTTCCTATGGATATTCTGATTTTATATAATGAATTTACACTTCAATTAGAAAGAGCAAAGAGGCTGTCAAAACCCTACCATTAAAAAGAAAGCTAAAACAAGCTTCTTTTCATAAATAACTGGTTAGGACCAAAACAGAAAGAAAAAAAAAAAAAAAACAAAAAAAACAAAGACATGAGGATCTGCACATGCTACGCAGCTGGAAATCTGCCCAGGCAGCATGTACCGCCATGCTGTTTCTTCCCAGTTCAACTCAGAAAAATCCCACTGAAGTTCACAGGTACAGCCGTGCAGTGCAGCCAGTTTCCAGGGCTGCTTACAGGACAGACTAGTTTGTTTTCCTCCCTTATCTGTTCCTCCACAATCTCCAGGTTTGGGGCAA